CAGACACCCTTGCCGTTCTAAGAAGCCAGCAGAGGGATCAGCCGTTGTTGAAGTTGACATGGGGCTGAATTATTCCCCACAGGCTTTGTTGAAAAATTACCAGGTCCTTTAGAATGCAGGACCTTTTAGTTCTGTTGCAAGCTGGGAGCTGTCTTTCTTTTATCCATGCCTTATGTTTTCCTAAATAGACTTTTAAAGACAAATGTAACCCAAAGCTGCTGAAGGTGAGGGCAGCCCCCCACCCCCACCCCCAGACAGCTTGTTGATGGAGAACTTGCTTCCTTTCATTCCGGGGGCCCTCCCCACAGTTATGTTTGCAGGGGATGGGTGTGTAGGCAGGGTCTGCAGAGAGCAGCAGGTGATATCCCCACCAAGCCACAAACTTAGAGAAGGGCAAATTAATTAGAATGGTACGAAACACAGTCCCTGCCTCTGTATCGTCACTTTCCGAGCCAGACACTAGGGTCTTTCCAGCTCAGCCCATTTTCTGGGGAGGGGGTTTTCATTACTATAATGGTATGTGATCACAGCTCTTTGGTGCCTTAAGGCTGCACCTTCAACACTGCAGTGGGACCCGGCTGACCATCTAGACACAGGGAAGAGGAGAAAGGTCAGAGAATCCCTTTCTCAGCCCCGACTTGCCTACTAGCTTCTGACATTTCCGAGGGAGGATCCAAACTCCAAATGCCCAGGTTGGCGTTTGGGGCAATTTTCATTTCAATGAAGCCACACCGCTGAGAACTGGGCACCCTTGACCTCCTGATGGAGCTTTACAGCCAAGTCCCTTGTATATATTCTCTTGTATTAATAGAATCCGTGTATTTATCTAATCCCGGCTTTTTCTTGCACATCATTAATTTGAGTGCACTTCTCGACTGCCCCGATTTTTGACAAGGGGTTGTTTTTAATGCTTGTTTTTATATGAGATTTGACTTCTTGATGGACATTTGTATTAGGAAATTGAAGCATGATATATATGTATATATTGTCTCCACTGTCTCTGAGGCTGCATTACTTGGATTGCATGAGATAGTGGGGTGTTTTTTTTTTTTTTTAAATATTTCCACAGTGTGCAAAGTGCTGGCACCATCCCTCCCTCTCTCCCCCGCTTTTCTCCGGCTGCCAAGGAGTCATTGATTTTGATTAGCTTCACTGCAGAGCGTCTGTGAAGAGAGGGAGAGGGAGGGAGGCTTTGAAATAAATTTTAAAAAAGACCTCATATCGGGTTTCAGCAGACAGCAGTGTGTGTGTGTGTGTGTGTGTGTGTGTGTGTGTGTGTGTGTGTGTGCATGCGCGCGCATGCGCACGCATGCATGTCCGTGCAAAGCAGAGGGAGGCCTCTGAGATCATTGTTTAGGTAGCTTGCTGCATAATGAGGCGATGAGCAAACAGAAGCGCCTCCTTCCTGATGGTGCTGGTTGCTCTCAAAGGGTGGGGGTCTAGGAGCCACAGGGATTGGAGCCTCCTGGGACTTCAGCATTCCCATTCCAAATTAGATCCATTCCCTTCTGGAAGCTTCCCGCCCCATCCCCCATAAGCAAGTAAGATCTCTTTACCCCATTTCAAATTTGGGGTTCCATTTCACAATCTTTCTGGCACAGATGTAGCTGGAGTAACAGGTTTGGCGGGGGTGGGGGGGGAGGCCGCTTTGCCTCTCTGGCTGCTGTCCATGGTCCTAGGCCATGAGCATCTCCTAGAACCCAGTTCCCATTTTGTTTTCCTCTCTTTCTTTGGGCTACTGGAGACTTCTTTTCCACACTTGTTGCAGTGGTCTCATTTAAGAAATTCTTTTCTATTTTGATGAAAAAAAATGGTGATTTAAACAATATTTTCACAGAATAATGTGACTTTGGTTTCACAATTTATGTAGCTGATCTCGTACTATTATCATGTTTTTGACAGTGACAAAATATCACTTCCCCTAGTTGGGAAATTGGGGGAGTCCACCTCTGATCCTGCACAAGTATCTTTTTGGGACACTGGTTTGCCACTGTGGACTTTTTGAGTGTCCACCTGGTATCAGAAGCTGCAGTGATCAGAACGTAGGTTTTTTTCTTCTATGTTGATACCAATTCCTTTTCTGAATCTTTCCTTAAGTCAGCCTGAGCCAATCAGAGAGTCAGATGCTGCTTGGGGGCTGAGGGGGGACAGGCTAGGCCTGCTGGCCTAGTCCCATTGTGATGGAGGATGTTGATGTCAAAAGTGTCATTTTAAAGCTTAAACCAAAAGTTTTAAAAAATATATTAATTTATTCATTCAATACCTATTTATTGAGCACCTACAATGTGCCAGGTTGTAGAATCCTATCTGGGAAGAAACTTACGTATGGAGCATGGAGGGGCAGCCCTGCTTGGAACCAGATGATGCTAATTGTCCCTTTCTAGTCTGGTTCATGGTCTTTAACAGATTTGTCAGGTCATCCTTGTGACCCCAAGCCTTGATGGCAGATTGTTCTCTAGTATTTATATTTACTGAGCATCGCACTGTCATGAAGGCAATTCAAAAGCCTGTGATCTCAACTCACTCCCAGCACAAAAAGACTGGTTCTTGCTGCTTCACATGGTAACGAAAGCCACCATCTACAGCGTGCTCACCAGCCCTGTGCTGAGTGCTTTACATGTTTCCCCTCCATTATTCCTCATACCCATTCTGGAAGACAGTAGGTATTATTCCCATTTTACAGCTGAGGAAGCTGAGACTCAGAAGTTTTGCAACTTAGCCTAAGGCTACACACACAAAGTGGCCGAGCCAAGATTTGAACTCAGGTCTGTTTGACCGCCGCCCCCCCCCCCAAACTCATGAGCTAACTGCCCTGCCACACTGTATTCCCTCCTGAGCTGCTCCAGGGCATTTGCTAGTTCAAGGGCAAGCACAGCCTGGGGCCCAGCAGGGAGCAAGGGAGCCTGACTTAGATCCACTGTAAGGAGTGTTGCATTTGGGGGCACTCCAAGACAGGCTGGATGGTTTAGTTGGGGATTTTATGTATTTGTTCCCTGCCGTTTATGTCCTTAATTTCTATAAGGTCCCTGGGAGAAGCATCTACTTTGTAAACAGGGCCTGTTCAACTTACTTCCTAGGACATGGGAAGCTTTTCTCACCTCTTTCCTGTCCCCTCCCCGACCTGAACCCTTAAGTCTTTTGCACTATAAGTGCCCGGGAGCCTATGTGTGTATGTGGCAGGGATGGTTGTGGGGGTGTTTGGAACCTCAGTGAGGCCTCTGGCTCAGCCAGAGAGGCAATAAGCTTGGGAACATTCCGTTCTGGGTTCTAACCTTGCTGGTTTGTTGTGCTCTTTTGTAAGAGGAATTTCATACCTTGGAGACGCTTTGTACATATTTGTAATGACTTTATTAAAAAACTGGTTGTGTGCTTCCAGCCAAAGGCCTTTGTGTTTTCATTTCCTTTTGAAAGGTTGGTCCCCAAAGATCATGGGAGGATCTGGCTGTGCACCCCAACCTTCCCTGGGACAGAAGGCTACACACTTAACTCCCTTCTCTGTCTTATTTCTGAGAACTCCCCAAGGGGAGGATTGGCCTGAACAGTACCCTTGGGATGGCCAAGAGGTTGAGGGAACTTGCCTGATAGTTCAAGATCAGTACACAGAACCATCACTTACTCATGGCGCCATGTAGATAAGCCAATGGCCGTGCAGATCTAGGTCTCCAACTATGGGAACATGGGTCTCTCTTTCGCCTACATTCACCTGGTCTAAGATGCTCTGAGCAATCAAGTTGTAGTCTTTTCCTAAGAATGGTGGGCTGAGGACAGGTTGTTTTTCTAGATAATAGATGTTTTCTTTTGCCTTGGGGACCCACCCCTTCCCCACTCTCAGTCCATGTGACTTAGAGGCGTTGACCCTATCCTCCTGCCCACCTCTGTCCCCACTGCCAGGGTTCAACACCTGATGCAGGCCTGACCAGCAGGGCTTCAAGTCCAAAAGGCTAAAGGGATTGGTTTGGGGCCAAACTAACGAGTCTACCTCAGGATTCCTGCTGGAGCTTTGGGGAAACAGAAGCTCTTTGCTGGGGTTGCTAAGCTGATGGAACATGAGCATAGAGCTTTTGGAGGACCTCTTACTGCCACATGGGATGTGACTGCCTGGAAATGAAACTGTCTCAGAGGAAAGCAGAATTGAGGGATGGAAAGACATGATTCTAATATCACCGGAGCCCCTGAATCCAGCTATACTCGAGGTCCATACTGTTACATGAGCCAAATAAAGTCTTTCTCTTACTTAAGCCATATTGAGTTGGTTTTCAAATAATTGCAACCAAAAAGTTCTGCCTGACGATGTTTTTGTGACCGGTTTCATAACAATGTCCTGAGAAGCATGAATTGTCACCTAATGCTATTAATTTACATTTTAAAATACCCATCATAATCTGGCACCCAGGCAAACCCATCCTGAATCACTGGCATGTACATTCTGGGTCTGTCATCTGATTAACCACTGTGGTGGGCCCTGCAGGTCCCCTGCCCAGATCCGTTCTGAGCCTTTCTACCAGTTCTGCATCCCCATCCTGCTCTTTCATGTGCTTTGTGGCACCTGGCACCATCAGAGACTCGGGGCGTCCTCAACCAGCAACCCATATTCCAAGGATTGATAGTGTGTGAGTAAAAAAACCTCAGGGTGGGACAAACTTTGAAATGCAGCTGATGCTCTAGAGCTCAGAGGGGCCACGTGGAGCCAGGACTTCTCTGAAAGTCATCCTCTCGTTTGGTTTCTTCTCCCTCCCTTACTGGTTTCTCCTGGGAGGACTTCCTTAATAAAGCATGTGCAACTCAATGGATCTGCTTGGCGGGAAATCCAATAGCAGACAACCACCCAATAGCAGGACCTCCACCCCAGGGCTGTTGAGAGGATTACAAGAGGTCATCCAAGCAGGATGCTTAGCTGGCATGACGTGCTTGGCACACTCAAGCATGAAGTGCTTCTCGGCTTTTCTCCCCCAACAGTCCCACCCGGCTTCAAGAGGCAAACAGACTCGAGACCACGAACCCAAGTTTCATCGACAGATGATATTTATTGGCAGAAGGGAATTTAAGGGAACGTTAAAAACACCAAAGGCAGTTCTGTTCAGCCCAGAGCAAAATTACTAAGAGATTCCAGGACTCACTTTACGTGTCCTCTTTCCAACCCAAAGTCTTAGGCGCTTGGTGCCTCCAAGTGTCTCTCACATTCTCCTCTTATGAAGGTAATGAGCCTGTTCCATCCAGGTCCAAAGCTTGCCTTTTTATTCTCACATTTATTATGCCCAAGATCTACACTAAGAGGGCCATTTCTAAGAGTTTCAGGAACTTGAGACAGTGAATCATAAAATAAGAGCAGGATACTCCAACACAATATGCGATCAATCCTGCTTATAACAAAGGAGTTGCAGAGCCAGGATGGGCAATGGAGAATGTTCTTCTTTCCCAGTGACAATCCTTGGCTGCTTCTACCCTGTGGTGGGGAACCTATGCAGCCTAATGTTTGGGAGACTCTTCACTGGCCGCTGTTCCTCCTTAGGGCAGAAGTTCCTCCCATCCAAAAGAAAACCTCCAGACAGAACTTTCCCCCAGAGGGTAGGGAATGAATAAGTAAAATCCTAAACGAAATCATCCCACCTGCCCCCAAGTATCCCCCACTGTTTATAACGTCAGAGGCATGGCTCGTTATCTGAAGATCGTTAGAGATGTGTGGGTTTCTTTTCTCTTTTTTTGGTGGCATGAGTAAACTTGGCAAAACCACGGGTGCCTTCCCCACTACTCTACATTGTTAGTGTCCCTGGCTCCAGCAGATAATACACAAGGTTTCATCATCCTGGAGATGGCTGTGGGGAGGTGAAGTGACTTCCCAAAGTCATGCAGAGTTTGGAATCAGAATTCCGCTCTGTCACAAGCTAGCACGTTAATAAATCTTCTCCAGCTCCGACTTCTTGTGTCTCTTTGATGGCATCTGCAGGCAGGGTGATCTTTCTGATAAAAATCAGCCACAGAAGCTCCTGTTGCTTCCCTTTGGTTCTTCCTCAAGGCAGGGGGACCAGAACAGCCGCATCCACCCGGCCCCCTTTCCCTCCGCTTCCCCTTCCGACTTGATTATCCAGGCAAGTGGGATTGTAACATCGCTGTAGCCATTGCCATAGTAACAGAGCTTGAAAGATGTCATGCTGCCCTGGAAGGGATGTCTTGCTGGGTACCAGGAAAGAGCCAGGGATGTCAGGCACAGGAAAAGGTCCCGGCTTGATAGCACATGGGGGCAAACGTCCTGAAACTGCTAGGGATGGGGTGGGCTTGTTATTACTGGCGGAGAGCAAGGTGGCAGCCAGTCTCCCACCATTTCTGCTGGGGCTTTGTTGTTAATCTGCTCACGAGCCACAAGATTGATGTCTCTGTAATGCCACGGGCACCAGCCCATTGTGTTGAGGTTGACGGTGAGTGAGCAGAGTTGGGAGAGGGTTAGGGGCAGGCAAGATTCCAGAAGCTTCTAAGTGATCACCTGTCCCATCTTGTCCCACATTCAAAGCAGGGAGGGTCTCACAGGTGGAGAAGCTGTTCTGTTACAGAGATCAGCAGCTCTGCTATAGAGATGACAGACACCCTGAATGCTACTGCATCCTATGCCTCCACCCTGGCTTGTGGAAAAACCCATAACGTGGGTCGTTCATTTTGCTCTCAGGGCCACCAGGGGAGAAGGCGATGGCCACAGGCACTGTAGACAAGCTGAGCCCCAAGTGAGGGACAGGACAAGAGCAGAAGGAGGAGGAGAGAAACGAAGACAGGTGTGGTGACCCAGTGATTCCGGCATCGGGACCAAAGCTGGCCATTCCTGATACCCAAATGCGATTGAGCATCCCAGCCAGAGCCCAGCAAAATTGTAATTTTAAAGACCAACTCTTTTCATGAATCCAGCCACAGCTAGATTTCCAGAGCCAGTGCTCACCGTTGGCATCCTCAGTGGGGCCCAAACCAAATGTGCTATGCACCTGGGCCACGGATGGGCATTAGAATCACCTCTCGTGCGTCTAAAAAGCCATGTCTGCTGGGCCCCACGTCCGCAGTGTCTGAGCAGTGGGTGAGCATGGTGGTTGAGAGGGTGCGCTCTGAAGCCAGACAGAGGGTCCACCCCTGCTAGCTGGGTGACCCTGGGGAAGTTACCACGTGGAGCTCCATGCCTCAGTTTCCTCCTCTGTAAAACAGAGGAAACAACAGGACCTCCACCCCAGGGCTGTTGAGAGGATTACAAGAGGTCATCCAAGCAGGATGCTTAGCTGGCATGACGTGCTTGGCACACTCAATTATTGCAAGGACAAGGTGGGGCCCGGCACTTGTATTTGGGAAATGCTCCACAGTGATTCTAATCTGCAGACCTGCGCCTCCTGGGGAGAGGCAGTGATCTCCAGGCCCTTTCCCGGGCGCAGCATCAGGTCACCACGAGTTAAAGTAACCTGTCTATCACCAGTCCCTTCCCTTGGAGGGGGCAGGAGACCCACATGGGAAGAGGCCAGATCTGAGTCAGGAGGCTTGTAGGGGAAGAACGGCCGCACCAAGGATGCACGCACTGTGCCACAGAATGGAAGAGGAAGGTGAAGGTCGGGAGGACAGGGGCCTGGCTTTAGGGAAGGAGGTGGAGAAAGGCAGGAGGCACGATCGTAAATGCTTGAGGCCAGTGTTCCAGGAAGTCCGCAGAGCCGGACCCAATCACGCGGGCCATCCCTCGGCTCCCAGAGCGTGCCTGGGAGCTGGGATTCCTCGTCCCTCAGCCCTAATACACCTGGAAGTGTGCCGAAGTGGCCCCGTCCTTCCAGCAGCGCAGGGTATCCACGGCAACCGAGCGGCAGAGCGGGCAGGTGCGCTCCCGGTCCAGCCAGAGGCAGAGGCACTCTTCACAGAACACGTGCTGTGGGGACAGCAAGCAGGACGACTGGGGACACTGCAGCGAGTGTCCCCTATGTGCCAGCCGCAGTCCCAGGAGCTGGGGACACAGCAGTGGACAAAACAGACAGCCCCTGCCCTCGTGGTGCTTGCACTCTACTTGGGGAGATGACTGGTCCCTTGAATCTCCAAAATGTAGAGTACATCAATGATAAGTGCTGAGAAGAAAAGCCAGGGGGAAGGGGCTAGGGAGTGCTTGGGAGGGCTGCTGTGTTCAGCATGGGGGGCCAGAAGGACTTTCACTGAATATTGACATTTGGGTGAAGACTGAGCCCTGAGGATCTCTGGGAAAGAGTGCTACAGGCAGAAGGAATGGCTTGTGCAAAGGTCCTGGGGCAGGAGTATGTCTGCTGTGCAGCTGAGCCTGGGGCTGAAGGGTGGGAGGTGGGGGATGAGGTCAGAGAAGCTATGGAGGGATAGAGATTGCATAGGGCTCTGTGGGCATCATGAGGCCTTTGGCTTTTATTCAGAAAGAAATAGGGAGCCATGGTAGGGCTTTGAGCTGAGGAGTGACCTGAACAGGATTTGCATTTTGAAAAGATGACTTTAGTTGATGGGTTGAGAACAGAGCTCAGGGGTTAAGAGAAAGGCAGGGAGACTGGAAATATCAATGAGTTCTACCACTTTCTGGCCATATCACTTGGACAAATGACTCAACCTCCCAATGCCTCAGTTTCCTCATCTGTAAAATGGGAGAAGGTCAGGAGGAAGTGGAGGGAATCCCCCCTTTTTCTAAGTAAGCTCAATGCCCAACATGGGGCTTAAACTCAGGACCTCAAGATCAAGAGTCGCATGCTCTACTGACTGAGTCAGCAGGGGCCCCCAAAATGCTGCTAAGAGTACTCCACTCATAAGAAGATTGCTTCACATTAAAAGTGCTTCGACATAACAGTCGAAGGCAGTGTACGATTCTCAGCTGGAGCCTGGATGGGGGGAAAACCCTAACTATGCAGGATATTTTGAAGACAGGTGGAGAAATCTGGATATATACCGTATATTAGATAATATTTTACATCAATTTTAAATTTCCTGGGTGTGATGGTGGAATTGCAGTATGGGAGAGAATGTCCTTGTTCTTCAAAGGTGAACACTGTAATATTTTCGGATGAAGAATCAAAATGTCACCAACTTATTCTGAACCGGCAAGGGGGAAAAACAGTTACATCAAGAAAAAGCAAATGGAAAATGTTAATGAATGGTGAATCTAGATGACAGATAAAAGGGTGTTCATTCTACTGTCCTTTTGCTCTGTAGCTTTGAAATTTTTCAAAATAACACTGATAATTTAAAATGATAATATGAAAATCCCAATACAATGTTTCTTAAAAAGTTTAAAAGAATTAAAAAGGCACTTAGAACAACGCCTGGTCAATAGTAAGTGTGCTATCAATGTTGACTATTATACAGTAGGAGTTATTATTACATTTTATCTCTTTATTGTTTATTATCTTTCCCTCCGTGCCAGGCTGTAAGCTTCTTGTAAACCCACTCCTAGCACGGTGGGCAGTAGGTGCCTAACTGTAAACAGTGTTCTAAAGGAGAACTCCATGATGCTCTATGCAACAGGGGACCAGTCTGATGCAGGGGGTAGTCCAGGAAGGCTTCCTGGAGGGGGGCACACTTGTGTTAAGGCCTGAAGGATGTTTAGCAGCTGAATGGGTGAAGAGAGGGGGTAGGGATAGAGCATTCCAGGCAGATGGGAGCAGCTGTGCCAGGCTCCTGAGGTGGGACAGCATTGAGGCACTCAAGGATGGCCAATGTGGCTACAGCAGGAGAGCGTAGGGAGTGGGCGGCAGGAGGTGAGCAGGCCACACAGAACCTCGAAGGCTGCGCCTGGACTCTCACTGGGGTCTGGAGGGCAGGACCCAGGGGTCAGCAGGCCCAGCAGCTTCTCTGGACTCCCACCCAGGGCACTCAAGGCCCTCCATGATGGTGTCCTCCCCTCTTCCTCCTCATCACCCGCCCCAACCCCGCCCGGGGTAGCCAATGTCACTGACACACAGGATGACCTGCAGTGCAAAGCTTAGTCATACTGCTAAGCCTCAGGGCAAGCTGTAATGTCTGTCTGGGGTGCCCTGATGCCCTTCCTCCATCCTTACCAGCTGGCGGGTGCCTACTTCTTGCAGAAGACTTAGCCCAAGCCATGACACCTCCCCTTCTCCGTGACGTCCCCCGTCCTCCATGCCTCACTGTCTCCTGCAAATCTAAGTGCTGGCTGTGCCTTCCCCTTCCAGGTTCCTCCTGGGGAGCGTGTCTCTCGCAGCATCACATGCACGCCTCTGGAATGATCCGTAAACTCATCTGTCTTGTTCACTGCATTAAGGGCTTCAGGAGGGCAGGGACCACACTCCCAACACGGTTCTGAGCACGTGGCAGATGCTCAGGAAATGTCTGCTCAACGAATGAATGAGACTTAACTTTGTTCCCCGGGAAAAGGAGGTACTTACATAGAAGAAAGCAACACAAGCCCTGATCACGGGAAGCTCAATACTTGAGTCAGGTGAACGGGAAATGAGCCAGCTTTTCATTCCTTCCTTCAAAAAAACATTCCCTGAGGCTTTCACACGTCTCATTCAGTGGTTCTCAAATGTTTTGGTCCCAAGACCCCTTTACAGTCTTAAAAAATCACTGATGATCTCAAAGAGCTTTTGTATATGTGGGTCAAATCTGGCTATATTTACCGTATTAGAAATTGAAACCAAGACTACACAAGCACATGAAAATGAAGCCAGGGGGTACCTGGGCCACACTTTGAGAACCACTCTTCTAACTGCTCATTTACCATTTGCCCTGCCATTTGGGTGGTAAACTTCGTGAGGGCAGCGACTGCGGTCGTGTTCCCATAGCCCAGCCCTGAGCCTGCACAGAGTAGGGACTCTGTAGATGTAGCTGACAAAGGAATGCCTTCCTGGGTAGGTCAGGTGGGAGATTCTGGAGATACCAGCATGGTTAAGACCTGGCCTCTCCCTTCTGGCAAGAAGGGGCCCTTTCTGGGCTGGGAAGTGTAGGATCGGGTGGGTTTACGGTCAGTGGGGAAGAACACACACAGCTGCTAAGTAGTGAGGCTGGAATCCAACTTCAGGGATGCGTTAGGCTGACTTCGATTATGACTCTCAGTGATCTCCTCCTCCTGGGATTCACACCCTGTGTGGCCCGTCCCCTCCCCTTGAGTGCAGCTGTACTTAGTGACTTGCTTCAAGCCAACGGAATACAGTAAAGAGGATGGGACGTCACTTCTGAGATTAGGTTACAACAGACGGGGCCTTCCCTCTTGCTCGCAGTCTTTCTTGGGCTTCTCACATGTTCGTTCTGATGAAGTCAGTGTGACAAGGAAGCCGGGGTAGCTTTTGGCCACACCAGCCAGCGAGGAACGGAGGCCCTTGGTCCTACAGCCCACAAGGAACTGAGTCCTGCCACCCACACATGACTGAGCTTGGAGGCAGACCCTTCCCCACGGTACACTGACTGGTGTCCTGACTGCAGCCTGGGAGAGACTCTGAAGCAGGGGACCCAGCTGTGTTGGGTTGCTGGATTGCTGACTCATGCAAACTATAAGATGATAAATGCTAGTTGCTTTCAGCCGCAGAGCGTTGGGGTCATTTGTTAGGCAGCAATGGGTAACTGATACAAGAGGTGTCTGCCTTCATAGTGAATACTCTTGCCCACCACATTCTATTTATACTGGTCACACATGGAGATGTTTATAGCACTCAATTGTAAAAATGACATTACTGAAAGTGTGGCTACTATCAGATAAGGGACACACACACATGCACACACACACAGCCCTAACCACAGATCCTCTTCAATCACATAAACCCAGCCAGCTTTGTCTAGATTTAGAATTAAACACTTACACTGAGTGTTGGCATAACACGCGATGCTTTTCAAAACCCACACACAGAATACATGTCATCTCGCTCGACTGTACTGAAGAGCCTGCAAGCTGCGCAGGGCACGCATTTTCATGGCATAACACGCGATGCTTTTCAAAACCCACACACAGAATACATGTCATCTCTCTCGACTGTACTGAAGAGCCTGCAAGCTGCGCAGGGCACGCATTTTCATGGCATAACACGCGATGCTTTTCAAAACCCACACACAGAATACATGTCATCTCACTCGACTGTACTGAAGAGCCTGCAAGCTGCGCAGGGCACGCATTTTCATTCCTGGGTGACAGAGGACATGGAGGGTCAGTGCCGCAAAGGAACGTGTTGCTAGGGGTTGCAAAGTTAGTGCTGGGACGCTGTGGGTGCTTGCAAAGCACCTGATGCGTAAATGCATGGATGGAGGAGTCAGCACACAGGCTGAGCTGCACAGGGCACAGCACGCTCCTAGGAATTTCCGGGAAAAGGGCTCTAATATTTTT